AGATAATATTCCTATTTTTGGTCTCAATTAATTGGCCAAATAAATGGACCTAATTACTGACCTAGGTGATACTCTTCTTGCCCACGCGTCGCTTTGTGATTGGAAGCTGGAATATTTGCTCCCACAATACATACTTGCATAGTATGTGTGTGTGTGTGTGTGTGTGTGTGTGTGTGTGTGTGTGTGTGTGTGTGTGAAAAATAGAATAACTGGTTTTTGAAAAGTGGGAAACTTTGGCAAACGCTGCTTCGGATGAGAGCAACAATTTTGGATTCCTATTGAAGTTATTTCTAAACCATATGGAATTGGGGTAAGTGTAGTACTAATTACTAAAATTTCCTCGTTGTTGGGTTAAAGTAGATGACAATTTTGGAATTTTAAAAATTGTGTGAGGATATAATGGGTAAGAAAGATGAATTCATAATGAGTTAGTTCTCCAAGAAATAGAATACTACCTCCCACCTAAGAATTGAATTTCTCTAAAACCACGAATTCAATTCCTAATTTTGTGTGGGCCCCACTTACTTTTCAATTCCTTGATGTGAAGTAAACGCAAGAATCCTTTGTATGTGGAATTCAATTCCTAATGAGAATTTCAATTCCTAATTAGTAAACACACCATGAAAAGATTTGTTTTTGAAGTGCTTTTGAAAGAGCTAAAAGTACTTTTGACATGGTGGACAGAAAAATTTAGAAGAACATTTGAGTCATAGAAGTACTTTTTGGAAAAACATTTTTAGTGAACACAATCCTAGGTACTTTTTCATGAAGTACTTGGATATCTTATGAAAAAATTTCAAATTTTTTTTATAATAAATGCGCTTTTGTTAAAAGCGTGTCCCAAACGAACCCTAAAGTCATGGTATAAAAGATGCTTTTGTCAAAGACGCGTGTCAAACAAATCTTGAAGTCAAGGTCTTTGTGTGTTTCACAATTACCTTCCTTTGTGTGAACCACAAACCAAAACTAATTAATCAATAGGCACCTTCTATAGTGCACCAGGTGCACCCATACACCATTTGTCCTTTATGATGCTCCCAGATTTTTAAAAAAATTGGTTACCGGTTATACAAGTTATCAAGTTTCCACTTTTTGAAAATGCAATTGCATAAGGGTCATGCAATTATGCCCTTCCTATTTGGCAATTGGCATATGATTGGATAGTGATTTACAGTAGTTTGGATATGAGAGTACCATGACATTGTAAGAGGATCCTAAAACTTATAAGTTACAAGATTTGGGTAGCAGTTCACAAGTTTTTGAACCAGGATTACAATAGTAGGGTTCACCTAATCCATAATGTTGTAAATACTCATTTACAAGGATATGGATCCACATTGCAAGGAATTGGTAACTCCGGACCATGAGGACGTCAATTGGGTCCTTATTCTAGTAAAATGAGGGTTTACAAGACAAATGGCCGATTTTACAATTTTGGGATACGAGGGTAC